ATATTGGAGGATACAGAATATTATTTTCACCAGACAATCTAATTTTCCTATATTCAATGTCCAGTACACTTTGTGAAAATGTTTTAACAAACAATTACATAAAGCTGGGCTCCGAAATCCACTCCTGAGCATTTAAATGGATTACACTAATTTTCAGAAGTGCTCAGCAGCTCACATTAAAGTTAAGAGATATTTATTCCTGTACTTTCATTTCAGATTAATCTCTAAATAAAATAGCTTTATAGACTAGATCTGCTTTTTTTTTTTTTTTGTTAGACAAAACTCCTGATGAAGCTGAAGGGAGCTGATTGGATCATGATTATTTTGTCTCAGACAAGGAGGTATGGGTTGGATTATTTATTTTTCACATGGTTAAATTGGATAGGGAAGTTTTCGTTGTTGTGTTAAGATGTTAAATCATGACATCACAGTCTTGCGCTGAGCTGAGGAGTCATTTCATTTGAAGGGATAATGTAGTACTACCATATAACGTTGACTATTTTTAGCAGAGATATAAGCCATATGCTCCAGCAGGTATAACTAGTTTAGTGCAAGAGATATGCCTTGAAAAGTGAGATTAAACAAAAGCAGCAGTGAAATATTTTGCAGATGACACTCTGCCAGACTTTAAAACTATATATATATATATATCTACAGAAACCCCAAAGGAAATATTTATATTTCATTCCCCATTTATTTCTTCATTGTCATTAACCTGTCAAACAAAGTATATTGTACAAATAATACGAGACAGAGATTGGCATCTGAGTTAGACAGAGTTCTGCTACTGGTTCAGTAGGGTCTGAATCTGTCAACTGAAAAATAATATTTAGGCTCACACACAGAGGTAGAGATGGCATTAGAAGATAAAGCAATGGGAGGAAGTTAGTTACACATGAAGTTTCTATACTTTCTGACTCTCTTTCATCTTCCAAGCTGTAGAGAACTGGAGATGGAAACCTAAAAAGGACCTCAAAAGAATTATTTTAAACTGTGAGATGTATCACATTTTGTTTTAGCTGCTATTATCATATCTTAGAACAGTTAACTTGAAAGAAGATGCAAAAGAGAAATCTACAGCGAGTGAAATGAGAGCAAACGTAGGAATGCCAAAGTAACCACTGTCTCAAGATCTCAGCTGGCAACAGCTATGTCATCTGCAAAAAGGTGTTATGCCATCCAACAGTTTATTCTTCCTGAGGCCAAAATCTAGATCGAAGCTGATCAGAAACCTTCAAGGCAATCAAAAAAGGTAGCGGTAAAGTCAAGAAGGACTGTTAATGACACTGTAGGAGCCATTAATTTTCTTTGACATAGAAAGGGTTAGCCAGCCTCAAGAGAACTTGCAAAGCATAAATAATATCCATGGGCAGGCCTTTTGCTTCTTTTCCCCCCCCCCCCCCCC